TGGTGGTAGTAGTGGTAGTAGTAGTCGTCGTCGTAGTAGTAGTAGGAGTAGTAGTAGTAGTAGCCGTAGTAGTAGAAGTAGAAGTAGTAGTAGTAGTAGTAGTAGTAGTAGTAATTCTGGTAGCAGTAGTAGTAGCAGCTGTAGTAGTAGTAGTCGTCGTCGTAGTGGGAGTAGTAGTAGTAGCAGTCATAGTAGTAGTAGTAATAGTAGTAGTAGAAGTCGTACTGGAAGTCGTAGTATTAGTAGTACTAGCAGTGGAAGTAGTAATACGACTAGTACTGGTGGCAGTCGTACTGGTAGAATTTGTCATAGTAGTAGTAGGAGTGGTGGTAGTTATCGTGTTCGTAGTATTAGTCGCAGTAGTGGTAGTAGTAATAGTAGTAGTAGTAGTAGTAGTAGTAGTAGCCGTCGTCGCCGTAGTAGTAGTAGTAGTCTTCGTCGTAGTGGTAGTAGCAGTGGGGGTAGTCTTGGTAGTATAATAGTAGTATTATTTGCAGTAGTGGTAGCAGTCGTAGTAGTCGAAGTAGTACTAGTAGCAGTAGAAGCCGGTGGAGTAGGAGTAGTACTGGTGTAGTAGTAGAAATCGCATTTGTAATAGTAGTAGTAATCGTTGAAGTAGTATTGTAGTCGTAGTAGTAGTAATCGTACTTGAAATAGTAGTCGCGCCAATTGTAGTAGTGTTGGTGGTAGCAGTGGTAGTAGTAGTAGTCGTACTAGTATTAGTGGCATTCGTGGTGGTAGTAGTCGTAGTAGTAGTAGTAGGTATTTAGGTAGGTAGGTAGGCAGATAAATAGGTAGGTAGTCGTAGTATTAGTAGTAGTAGTAGTCGTCGTCGTAGTAGTAGTAGTGGTCGTAGTAGTAGTAGTAGTCGTAGTAGTAGTAGTAGTCGTAGTAGTAGTCGTATTTGTAGTAGTACTGGTAGTAGCAGCCGTGGTAGTACTAGTCGTAGTAGTAGTAGTAGTAGTAGTAGTTGTAATAGTAGTAGTAGGGGTAGCCGTTATAATGGTACTAGTAGTCGTATTGGTAGCAGATTTAGAAGTCCAGGTCTTTGTTGTAGTAGTAGGAGTATTAGTGCGAGTAGCATGTGTAGTGCTCGCAGTAGTGGTAGTTGCAGTCGCAGTCGTAGTAGTAATAGTCGTAGCAGCGATAGCACTCGTAGTGTTAGTAGTAGTAGTAGTAGTCGTAGTAGTAGTAGTAGTAGTAGTAGTAGTAGTAGTAGTAGTAATAGTGGTCATAGTAGAAGTAGTGGTAGTAGTGGTAATAAGGATCGTAGATGTGGCAGTATCAGTGGTAGTACTGGTAGTGGTAGTAGTACTGGTAGTGGTAGCAGTCGGACTTGTGGTCGTAGTAGTCGTAGCGGTAGCATGAATACTAGTAGTACCAGTAGAAGCAGCAGTAGTAGTAGTAGTAGTAGAAGTAGTAGTAGTAGTAGTAGGAGTACTAGTAGTAGTAGTAGTAGTAGTAGTAGTATTGTTGGGCAGCGTTGGTAGTAGTAGGCGTACTAATAGTAGGCGTACTAGTAGTAGTAGTAGTAGTAGTAGTAGTAGTAGGTGTCCTATGTGTAGTAGTAGAAGTAATTGCAGTAGGATTGGCACTTGCAGTAGTAGCCATAGGAGTAGTAGTAGTTGTACTAGCAGTCGTAGTACTAGTAGTAGTAGTCGTACTTGTAGTGTTTGTAGTATTGGCCGTAGTAGATCATCAGTATAAGTGGTAGGAGTCGCAGTAGTAATACCAGTCGTAGGGGTAGTAGTAGCAGAAGGTGTAGTAGTATTCCAAATATTGGCATTCGCAACAGCAGTAGTAGTAGTTGTAGTAGCCGTAGTCGCAGTAGTCGTCGTAGTAGTAGTAGCCGTAGTAGTAGTAGTAGTAGTAGTAGTAGTAGTGGTTGTAGTAGTAGTGGTTATACGCATACGGCTGCATATTTCAACCAATGCCAATTCGATTTATTCTGTGTATGGTCATGGTGACCGCCATAACACGAATAAGCATACGGCTGATATGGGGACTATTCATATTAGTACAACTATTGCAAGCAACGCAATTAGTAGTCATAGTAGGAATATGATTAAAACTGCTACGGTTACTCATGATAGTAATATCAGTTTTATGCTCAACCGTACTACTACCAGTAGTACCAGTAGTAGTAGCAGTAGCAGTAGTGTTATTATTAGTAATCGTCGTAGTCGTAGTAGTAGTAGTAGTAGTAGTAGTAGTAGTAGTAGTAGTAGTAGTAGTAGCAGTAGTAGTAGTAGTAGTAGTAGTAGTAGTAGTAGTAGTAGTAGTAATAGTAGTAGTAGTAGTAGTAGTAGTAGTAGTAGGGCAGACCGGGCCCTGGGTGCGAGCCGCCGCCGCGGCCGCAGCCGCGGTCGCGGCGACGGCGGCGGCTGGGGGCATCAGTCGGCCTTTTGGCGGCCTCTTGGGGCCTGCTGGTGGCTTGCTGGGGGCCTCTTGGGGCCTCTTTGGGGCCTCTTTGGGGCCTCCTGGGGCTCTCTTGGGGCGT